CTGGAATTGAAGGATGAATATCGAAAAGGCAAAAGATCGACCTGGAAATTAAATGATTTTAAGTTAAAAATCAGAAAAGTAAAGAAATAGTGGCTAAATGGATTAAAAATGTATTTGAAACGAATAAACCAGAGGATACATCATGAACCAATAATTGGTGCACATTTAGATCAATTATAAGGGACTATTTTATTAAATTGAAAGTGGAAATTATTTTTAAAAAGTGGCTTATCACAATCTGAACAGTATATTAAATTTTATGGTATTTCTAAAGGAAATAAAAATAATCCCTCTTATGATAAATTATCTGATCTAATTAAAATACAAGAAAAAATAAATCTAAAACTTAGAGAAAAAATTGTGATTGATTTGTCTAAATTAAAAATGAGCTATTATAACAATAATAATAATAAGGCGAACAGACTTCTTTCAAACAGGCTAAAAATTCAAATGGCTAATAATCGAATTTCAAAAATTATAGAAAATAATAGACCAATATATAATCCAACTTTAATAGCAAAAGCCTTTAAATCCTTTTATAGCTCATTATATAATTTAGAAAATGGAGATAAAGAATTAATAGAAAAATATCTTTGGGCTAGTACACTCCCAAAACTGTCCAAAATTAAAACAAAAAATTAAATAAGAGCATTACTGAAAAGGAATTAGCTAGAGCAATTCGTAGATTGGAAAGACAAAAAACTCTGGGACTAGACAGATATACTGGTCTTTTTTATAAGAACTTTAGCAATCTTTTTCTTCCTCATTTGGTAGTAATGTTTAATGAAGTAACACAAACAGGAACATTTCCAGAGGAATTATTAGGAACCAATATAATACCAATATTGAAGCAGAGCAAGTGTCCTACTAAAATGGAAAATTATAGGCCCATCTCACTCTTGAATAATGACCTGAAGCTATATGCATCAATACTGGCAGATAGACTTAAGAAGGTCATAGACAACATTATACATCCTGATCAGGTTGTTTTTTGTTTCCCAAATAGAACAGCTAATATGAACTCTAGAAAGATTTTGAACATTTTGGATCTAGTAAATAGAACTCGCCTTCCCATGCTGACCCTGTCAGTGGATGCTTTGAAGGCCTTCGACCAGGTCGGCTGGGAATATTTGAGTCTGACTTTAAAAAGAGTAGGCATAGATGGGTGGATGCACAAGGGTATAATTAGCCTTTATAAATCACCTTCAGACAGAGTTGTAGGACAAAACATCTGTTCTGACTGGTTCCCACTATTGAATGGAACACCTCAAGGGTGTCCACTTTCCCTGTTGCTCTATATAATTTATTTAGAACCATTTGAATTTAGAATTAGGGAAAATAAAAATATTAAAGGAGTTATTACAATCACTAGAATCAAAAATAAACCAATATGCGGATGATACATGGATCACACGAACAGTTTAAATTAAGTAATTTGGATATTTAATGGTAGAGTTCACTGAATATTCTGAAGCTTCTAATTTTGCGATTAACATATAGAAATCAATTATTATGGGCTGTAATTTAACAACAGAGATAAAACAATGCAATTAAAACCAAATATGGCTTTGTGTGGTCTAAAAATTTAATAAACTATTCAAACTTGTATGGAAATTAAGTTTTTGAAATTATTAAAAGCCACAAATCATACCCTGAAAGACTGTAAATATGTGGAAGAATCGTGGCTAGGTAGAGCTAATATAATTAATGCATATCTATTACCGAAATGACTATATTCATTTCAAATGGTCCCTCTCAAAAGCCCAGATAGTTGGTTGAAGATGATACAAAGGAGTTTTAATCAATGTATTTGGAAGGGGAAACAACCAAGATTAAATCTTCTATTAGTTTCTAGAAAAAAAGAGAAAGGTGGTCTAATTTTCCCTAGTATTGAGAATAACTACTTTGCAAGTATAGTTACTCATATATATATAACCTTCAGCTGGATACAGAACTTAAGGAAAACTGGTATGTGATGGAAACGAATAGTCTGAATAAATCTAATGTATTTTAAATAATATGGAATTGTTATCATAAACCTCTACCTAATATTGAAATTTATATTTTAAAACATTTGAATGAGACTTGGGATGCTGTTAAAGAATTCCTAGATATTAAGGGAAAGAGTTTTTAGCTTTATGCCATTGGATGTACTGGAGGCCAACTTGGAAAATTGAGCCTTAACAAACTGTAAAAGATGTAATATTACAACTATAGATCACCTAATAGAAAGTACTAAAATAAAAGCATTTTCGGATTTAAAAATAGAGTTTAATCTCCATTCATCTGAGCTTTTTAACTACCTAAGAGTAAAGTATACATTGAAGCAACATTTAAGGTTTAATAAAACTGGAATAAATGAGGATTTACTTAGTATTTTTAACCAAAATAAAGTTTATAAAGTTATCTCCAAAGCACTGAGTATGCTCAAAATGAATAAAAATGAGGATCAAATTAATGCTTTAGTAAAACAGGAAAATGAATTAAATATTCAAATCACAAATATAGAATGGTATAAATCATTAATAGAGACAAGGAAATCTATTCATTGTATAAGCTTGCAGGAAACCTAATATAAACATATTAACAAGTGGTATCTGGTACCTTCAAGGATAGCTAGAATATTTACTTTGTCAAATGATTAATGTTGGAGATGTGAAAAGAGTAGAGGTTCATACATACATATCCGGTGGAGTTGTACTGAAATAAAGATGCAATGGAAAAGTATATTTGTTCTTAGATATAATATGATAGAATATAGACCTAAGATTGTGCCAGAGGGGTAGGTTTATTAAATTTGATATGGCCTAAGTTAAAAGTAGATGGAAAGAAATGTCATTATCCATTGTTTTTTTAGCTTTTAAAATTCTAATATCCAGAAACTGGAAAACTAAATACATTCCAACATGGAAAAATATAATAAATCAATTATTTCAATTACAAATGGAGCTGCCAATTAATGAACACTCCAATATTAATGAACAAGATAATGTAGAGATGAAAGATCTGATTAAGAACCCGCCGATTCACTGTGAGATACACTCAATGCGATATATGTTGTTTGATAAATGTTTGTACTTATATGTCTGATATATGTTTAACTTATAGACTTATAGACTAATATAGTGTAATTCAAATTAACTGAATTGTATGTTATTTGTACATGTCATATAAAGAAAACAATTTAATAAAAAGAATTTTAAAAAATAGGAAAGGAGAAGCGTAGCCACCTCTTGCTCAGTAGCCTGGGAGAAAGTCTGAAGGGTAGGAAAGGCATGATCCAGGTGCGGTTGAGAAAGTGAGGGGCAAGGTGGTGAGAATTCTTTCCTTACCTTAACAATTTGCTTGACAGAGATCTATTTTGTTATATTTATTAAATATATAAACATAGTTTTTTTTTTTCTTGTTCCTGCTTTTTTCTCTCTATTGTCACTTGATCTGTCCATCATCTTTTACCTTTTTATCTTTTTTATGGCATCAAAACTGTTTGTCCATTGTCTGTTTAGTTTGTTTCATAATTTGTATATATTCCGTTTCGGTGTTAAGAATTTTGGACAAATTGCTGATCACCTTAAAAATTTGGACACATCATCCACAAAGCTATGATTTATATATAATTACATATCACAGGTTATTTCCTAAACCATTGCCAAAATGTTTAGGTCAGTAGTTGACACTGCTCACTTTTGTTGCCAATGGTTTAGACATTAATGGCTGTGTGTTGAGTTGTTTTGAGGGGACAACAAATTTACCCTGTTATACAGACTGTACAATTACTACTTTACATTGTAGCAGAGTGTAATTTCTTCAGTATTGTCACATGAAAATATATAATAAAATATTTTTAAAAATGTGAGGGGTGTGCTCACTTTTGTGAGATACTGTATAAATCATTATAACTTAATGTTTTTGTATAAAACTGTGCCCTATTTGTATGGATACTCCCCTAATGTAAACTTTGCCACAATCTCAAAACTGTACCAACCAAATTCTTATTTTGATATTAGTTTTTGTTTTGTTTTTAATTTCCCTTTTCTCCTCATTTTTATTTTCCATAATATTAAATGCCATTGTTAAAGGCAAACTGACAGAGTAGTGTCAACTCCTTGCTCCTTTAATCAAATGCTAATTTCTGTATTAACTGGGGTGGATAATTCAGCAGGCATTAATAAAAAAAAAGTCAAACACTTACCTCTGCAACACTTTTGTATTGTGGTAATTTGCCAGCCTATAATGACTCAAGTGTGCACATATGACATTGGGCATTTAATGGAGAAATTACAAGCGCATGCATTCTGCAGTTTCTAAAGCAGGGCCATATGCATGTATGCACCATGCAAATAGCAATGCATGAGTTAACTCATTTACACATTTTATTGTTCTTTGGCTGGCAAAGAATGTAAACTAAAATAAAAGAAATGACTAATTTAAAATAATTTTTAACAATCTATAGCTAACATTTAGTTGCCTATTAGATTGTGCTAAAATAATCGGCATGACATGTCCTCTTTGAAATGTATACAGAGCATACAGAAAGTTTTCCGACCCCTTCATTTTTTCAATTATTTTTTGTTGTTGCTCCTTATTGTACAATGATTTAAATTACATTTTTTTTTCAATTGGATCTACACTTATAACAGTGCAAAAACAAACAAACAAAAATATTTTTGACACTATATCAAATATATTAAAAAGAAAATACTGAAATATCACATAGACACAAGTATTCAGACCCTTAACCCAGTACTTTGTTGAAACACCTTTTGGAAGTGATTACAGTAATTTGAATACATATTCTAGAGCAGTGATGGCGAACCTTTTTGAGCCCGAGTGCCCAAACCGTAATACATGCCAATTTTTTTTCCCTCAAAGTGCCAAAACGCCAATTAAACCTGAATACTGAGGTTTAAGTTTAGAAAAAACAACTCATACAGTTGTCCGAACTAATTAAAATCTCTGTGTGTGTATTAAGCAGTTTGTGTGTGTGCTCGGCAGTCTGTCTGTGTGTATTTAACAGTCTGTCTGTGTGTATTTAGCAGTCTGTCTGTATTTAGCAGACTGCTGAATACACACACACAGACTGCTGAGTACACAGTCTGATGAATACACACACAGACTGCTAAATACACACACACACACACACACACACACACACAGACTGCCGAGTACACACACACACACACACACTGCTAAATACACACACACACACACAGACTCCTAAATACACACACACTGCTGAGTACACACACACACACACACACACACACACACATACTGCTGAGTACACACACACACAGACTGCTGAGTGTACACACACACAGACTGCTGAGTGTACACACACACAGACTGCTGAGTGTACACACACTGCATTGAGGGGTACAGTGTATGTGTTTGTGTGTGTGTGGGGTGATGTGTTTGTGTGGGGTGATGTGTGTGTGCGGTGATGTGTGGGTGGGTTGATGTGTATGTGTCTGGGGGGGTGTGTGTGTGGGAGGGGTGTGAGTTCCCCCCCCCTCCCTTTCTTTCATATTCATCCCATCTCTCCTTCAGTTCCCCCATCTCTCCTTCAGTTTCCCGCCCCATCTCTTCTTCAGTTCCCCCCATATCTCATTCAGTTCCCCCCACCCATCTCTCCTTCAGTTTCCCCCCCATCTCTCCTTCAGTTTCCCCCATCTCTCCTTCAGTTTCCCCCCATCTCACCTTCAGTTTCCCCCCATCTCTCCTTCAGTTCCCCCCCATCTCTCCTTCAGTTCCCCCATCTCTCCTTCAGTTCCCCCCCATCTCTCCTTCAGTTTCCATTTCCCCATCTCCTTCAGTTCCCCATCTCTCTTTCAGTTTCCCCCCATCTCTCCTTCAGTTCCCCCCTCATATATCTCTCCTTCAGTTCCCCCCCATATATCTCTCCCTCAGTTCCCCCCCGCCCATATATCTCTCCCTCAGTTTTCATCCCCCTCCCTCCTTGAGCTCCTACCTTGTAGCGTGGCCGAGCGCACCGCGGAGCTCAGTTTCCTGTACCCGGCTGACAGGAAGTGCTCTCTGTGAGCACTTCATTTCTGTCCGCCCGGGTACACGAAACATACCGCGGCGCGCTTGGCCACACTAGACAGAGTGCCTGGCAGGACGGAGCGCTATGCGCTATGCGCTCACCTCCTGCCGTTCACTCCGGCTTTGCGCCCGCTAGGCCGGTGCGCCCTAAGGCGGCCACTTGTGCCGCCTTATGGATGCGCCGGCGGAGCGCACTCTCCCTCCGGCGACCTATGGCTGCGTGCCCACAGAGGGGGCTCGGCGTGCCACCTGTGGCACGCATGCCATAGGTTCGCCATCACTGTTCTAGAGCTAACAGATAGTGTTAATGAGCAAAGACAGAGAACTATTCTGTTATTATTGTCCAGTAATGTAAATACTTATTCACAATAACTATAGGATCTTAAGTGCAATATTCACAGATTTTAGTTTTTGTTGCTTGCTATGTTTATGCTTATTTACATAATGTTGCACTACAATTGGTTCATGAGCATTTTAAATTATATTTACACTAAAGGGGAGTTTTATGATGTTAGTATTTGCACCACTTTATTTTCTTTTTCCTAAATCTGTGATTCAACACAATTCTGTATTTGAGCTCTGAAGGCATTTCCTTTAACCTTATGACTTGGTTTTTGATCTGATGTGTATTTACAGCTGTAAGACCTTAGATAGACAGATATGTTTTTTCCCAAATCATGTCCAGTCAATTGATACATTTAGTCATCAATAAAAGTGTTGACCTGTGGAAAATGTCTGTGTCATCTATAATTGTAAGCTAATAATTGTTGGTTTTGGTATAGTATAAAAAATACTTTTTGCTTCAACCCTCATCATTCTAACATATAAACGATTTCTATAAGATTAGTAATGTAGGGACCAGTAAAATGTCTAAAATGTTCCAAACTGATTTATTACTTGCATGAGGATATATATTTTTCAATTTGTGTCTGCTAATACTTGTGCTCTATTACTTCAATATGTACTACATCACTTCGGAAAAAGAGACAAAAATATGAAACATAAGTGGATGTCATGTATGGGTGATTAACTAGTGACTTTATTCATGCCTACAGGGGGTGATGGTGTGGAATGTGGCTATTGTGTTAAGTTATGATGTGTCAACTTTCAGATTTCCCAATTTGACCTCCAATAAAGCTGTAAACATTAATATATTAATATATTTCTGGTCAAATTCTGTTATTGTAAATATAGAGGTAATCTCCAGCATTACATTACCTGGATGCAGAGGAGATTTTAATCATCCCTGAGTTCCACAAAAAATAATATGTCTGAGTGCAGTTATGCAATAATCATATCAATCTATAAATATACAAATATACAGTGATAAATAATGATAGAAAGTATTCCTGTCTGCAAACTCCTCTTACTTCCTCTGTATAATCCTTCAGGTACAAGAATGGTGAGGGAGTCCCTGCCTTTTACAGCTCTTTCTATGACAATTCTTCTCTTGCCATAAGCCTAATTGTAGCTGACATGGCCACTGAAGTCACCCATATTGAGGTCATGGTTGTGATTCTACATAGTTATGCCTTTAAAGCCATATATAGATATTAACAATATATAGATATTAACACTGTTTAGAAAAGTGTGAGTACATTCTATTTATTTTTACTCCTGGTTTATTATGTTTTATACAGAGAGCACTATTGTCACACCCTTTTATTTTCTGTCTTTTTTATATACCCTGCTGCTACAAATTCTGCTGATTGCACCTTCCACCGATATCCCTGAAGTGGGGGATCAAATCCACAGCAGGCACACTATACTAGAGCTGGTTTTAGCTCTATTCAATGTGAGTAGGCCAGTTGGAATTCTTTTATACCACTATATTTTATTTTGAACTAATTACACTAGTGGAGTCCTTTTAATCTTTTTTTTATTTTATTATTATTTTTATATATTCCCAGATCCTGAACATCTTGGTGGTTACAAGTCTAAGGTACAAGAAAGTCTAATCAGGCCATCACATATAATCATTACTAAGACTTTATTTTGGACTACTGACATTACCATTGGGTATACCTTTTATTGTTATTTAAAGACTCTGTTTATTATGTTTCATTTTGACTGTTTTACTTATAAACTATTTTATCCCTTACCCCGATTTATGCCAAAATGCACATCACAAAAAAAGAAATAAATGTTTCTACACATCTGATCTTCTTTTTCCTTCACTCCATGTTTGGGGACAAAGTGAGCCATACTGAGTAATGTCACAGTGTAACCCCTATCCTTTCTTCACCATGTTGAGCTGTTCTGTGAAGCACAAAAATATATGGGTCAGAGGGTGTCCAGCCATATTGCTCAACATAGTTTATTAGCGCCAGGAAATGTCCAATCCCCAGACCGTTAGAGGTTAATAGGACTTTAGGCCTTCCAATCCGTAAGCAAGTTATTATATTTAGTCAAACGAAAATTTAGTCCAGGCACTCAAGATCACTTATGAAGCAGTTTTATTGGAACATTTAATATTTAAAAAATAGTCTTATTTGTTATATTTTAGAAGCAACAATAATTGCATTCTTATTTATCACATAGATATAAAAAGTATAGTCTTCACAAGAACTGAAGCTTGCTAATGCTGAAAATTGAGTAATGTGAATTGATTTAACCAGTTCCCCAATTAACGTTAAGTTTAAGTTAAGTTTGATAGTGATTTTATTGTGAGTTGTGTATTGTGTAATTTTGTAGTCAGTGATAAAAAGCAGCCTTAAAGTGGGAAGGGAAAAAAAATCATGAATACAATTCTCTTAGACTGTATTGTTCCTTCATCTTATGATATATTGTCAGGGCGAAATTTCATGGTTGCTGCTGCAGCTTAATAGAATGAAATATTCTACTCTGTACATGAATTATAAACACGCGCCTGACTGCACAGCACAGTTGTGAAGATGTCCCCAGTTACTCATACATATGGGTGTAATCACTCACACTTCCCTCTCTAGCTTAGCCTTTCAGGTAAAGAGCACAAAGTCTCTACACTTGCAACAGCTTGCTATTCATCACTGAAGTACCCATGCCTATATCTAACCTTCAGAATGCAAAACAAAAATATGTATTACCATGCTTCCCATGAAAATGAAACAGAATATGTTATTAATCAATAAAGCATTTTGGAATGTATTGAAGAAATGTAGTTTGCACACATGCTTTCTCTCTATATTTTTGTCTACATAAATATACTGCTGAACAAAGCAAACAAAACACTTAAGAAGCAATACAATCATTGTTTTTATTTTTTCATTTCATATAGCCTTCTTATCTACCCCCATGTCCTATATCTGGCTCCATAAAACACACATTCTGTCTTGGGTGGTGTTTTCATTTTGTGCAATGCACTGTAGAAAAATGGAAAAACAATGAATATGGGAAACAAAATAATTCCTGTATTTTAGAAGGAAGGACTTTGTCCTTCTCTGATCCCCCACCCAGTATGCTGTAGGTGGATATTTGTCAGAATAACAGGTAAGTAGTCTGCCGATGCTCAGCCTTTAAAATCTGTTAATTCCCATCCGGCCTAAATAGTAGGATAGATGTCTTTCCACAACTCTCCCATAGTTGACTGGGAGTTTTAAAAAAATCCTCAATTTCTACCGCAATCCAATTAGGATTAGTGGAATAGGGTATTATTTCAAAAGGGGTTTGGGATCTGACAGCATTCCCTCCTTAATCCCCTTGACCATGCCTAGTGGATGTGGGTTAGGTAATAGACATTTGCCTACCTAATGATATATCTCATTATAGGGAGGTTTCTTCCATAATCTTTAAATGCTGAATGACAAATCCTTCTATCTCCTTGGATGTCTGCACTATTCGAGTTAACAATAGCTTTGATTTTAAGCACTCTGCTAAAAAATGGGTTGAAGAAAATAATGAAAGACATTGTTTATTTTGAAGTAAGCCATTGAGCTGACTGTATTCTATTTGGTACCCTCAGCTTTGCCTTGTGTTCTTTTCATGGATGGCCCATTTTAAAGGGAAGAAAACATTGTTGGCTTTTGTGATTAAATGGACACTATATAGTCACATGCAGGGAGGTGTGACAA